AAAGAATAAACCCAAGCTACACCTACATATCCCCCAGATTGACCACCCCTCAAAATGTCCTACCCATCCAGCCTTCCCTCCCTCACCACCCGCGAAGCCATAACCGACACCCTCTACCGCTGCGTCGGCGGCTTCGACACCGCCGACGCAGCCCTCTTCGACTCGGCCTTCACCAAAGACGCCACGTTTGACTTGAACGGCCGAGTGCTCGAAGGCCTCGAGTCGATCCACAAAGACTGCTACGACAATATATCTAAGCTAGATACGATCCACTATATGAGTAATGTGCGGGTGAATGTCAAAGAGGGCGAGGAGAAGGGATCGTTGACTGCCTCGGCGCTGGCGCAGCACTATCGGCCAGGGGAGGGTATACAGGCTGGCACGAAGTATTTCTTGGCGGGGAGTCTGTATGAGATGGATGTGGTCAAGGATAAGGTGGATGGGTTGTGGAAGATTACGCACTGGAAGTTGAAGATTGTTTGGGCGGAGGGGGATTGGGGGGTTGTGCTTGGGGAGTGAGTTTTATTCTACTATCAGCCGAGAAATAATGTCGATACTATGATTAGCAATTATCGGGGTGGTCGACGGACGGGTTATGATATATATTCTCTTTCTGAGGTCTCGGGACAGTTATATATGGCCTGGGTCGAGTCGAGTCTACATGTCAATGCCATCATTGATGAGAATACCATGAATAATGGAGGACACATCAAGAATTGATGGATCTCGAAGAACCTATTAACCTCGTCACTAGCAACTTCTTCATTATGAACAGTAAGCGCTCCTTTTTACCTCATCGGGCGGTATAATCCGGTGATTTTGTATAATGTATTCTCAGGGTTCCGTTCCCGAGACACTTGATTCATGAGCTGGATCCAATAAATAAATCTAGAACTTCTTTCGAGATCAAGTTGGATATGAGAGAACATATTCCCCGTAAAAATTCCCTCGCTTCGCACTCAAGTCTTTCATGAAAGTAGTAACTGAGGGCAGAACCAACAGGACCTGCTTAGGTTTTCTGGGACAAACCTACACATCCTCCCTTCTGAGCCCCACAGGTTGAACGGGCATGTTCTATCCTACCGGCGATCCTCGCGGCCCACTCAGATGTACTCTGGAGTCTAGAGCCTAGACTGTACTGGCAACAGATAAGCAACAACTTCTTAAACCGTTGTTGCACATGACTAGTGCATTTACCCTTCGATCGCACAGCTTTTTTGTTCATGGTCCCACATACTCAAGTGTTCAAACCTGCACTCTCGCATTATCGATGCTAGAGCGAATGCAGATTCAAGCCCAAAGCAGAGCTACCCTATGAGGTATTTGAATATCGCATCTACTCTCTAACATAACCGTGCTCCTGCAAAAACAAGCCATCTCTGCTACAGACCATAAGAGGAAAAGTCCCAAAGCAGCCCTATACGGTGTCCGAAGAGCGAGAGATTTGTGCAGACTAGCTGAAAATGGGATCTGGGGAACGGTTGAATAGAAACGTAGCATACTTTGAATCGCTGCGTCATACCCAGGTTCTTTCCCAACCGTTTTTGCTTCTTTGGCTCCAAATAGTGCATTTGATTCCTAGCTATGCAGGTTGCCGGAATGAGCGGTGATATATGCAGCCGTTATGCTTGATTTCGATATTGAACTCTTTAACCGACCGAAACACGTTTGGCGCATGAGACGGTCACATGAAGCCCTAATCATAAGATCCAAATTATTGACCATAATCTTGGAAACGACGTGTTGGTGCGGAAATATTGCATTTTCCTGGAGCTTGACTTGAAAGGGCGGTAAGTCTGAATATATCTGCAATGATATGAGGCTAACCGGCAGTGGCAAGGACAGCCTTTTCCGACCCACGGAAGATCCACCTTCTTGATTGCCGTCCTGGGAACAGCTCAAAAGCCGACGCGGGTCCAAATTATCCTGTGGGATGCGGTATCGGGGAGCTACTGGTTCCCAGGCCCACTTCGACCGACATCCAACTTTTTTTTCTTGCCTTCGGGGCTGACTAAATGTGAAGGGGGAAGTCCGTTCGTAGAAAATCCTACATATGCCCCAGAGACATACGAAAACTGACCAGACGGATATCCAAGGCCAGAACCGGAATGGCTTAGTATACGACTTTCTTTGATATTGGATTTAATGACAGCACACTTCCCATATCCACCAGAATGACTGACGAGCTGAGGCCAGTTCCTTCGGCCCACTCTATCGCGGATGGCTTCTCCCCGATCCGCGAGGTCGCGTTCATCATCATTGTTTGTATGTCGCAGTTCATCACGCAGGCAAACATAGGAGTATGTGTGGCGACACTGGATATCGTTGGAGACAGCTTCCATATCACTGAACCTGGTGTTTTGTCCTGGTTTATCGCTGGCTATTCGTTGACCGTCGGTACTTTCATCTTGGTATTTGGCCGCTTTGGCGATGTCTTCGGCTACCACCGAATGTTCCTGGTTGGCTACATCTGGCTGGCAATCTGGTCCCTGGTGGCAGGCCTCAGCGTGTACTCCAACCATGTGCTATTCATCTTTGCCCGAGTCCTGCAGGGCCTGGGCCCAGCCATGCTGCTCCCCAACGGCCTGGCGGTGCTCGGGGCAACCTACGCCCCCGGAAAGAAGAAGAACATGATCTTTGCCATCTTCGGCGCCACTGCCCCCAACGGTGCAATTCTGGGTGCCGTCTTCTCGTCACTCTTCTCCCAGTTAGCATGGTGGCCATGGACTTACTGGACCATGGCGATTGTCTCCGTGGTGTGTGCGCTTCTGGGCAGCATGGTCATCGCACCCGTCCAGCATACAGATTTCAGACAGTACACCTTCCTCCAGCTCCTCAAGACGCTAGACGTGTTCGCATCCTCGCTAGGAATCGCCGGACTGGTCTTGATCAACGTTGCCTGGAACCAAGCGCCCATAGTTGGCTGGAGCACGCCATACGTGTACGTCCTTCTCATCGTGGGGATCCTGCTTCTCGCCGCCTTCTTCATCGCCGAGCTCCACTTCTCTGAGAACCCCCTCGTCCCAATGAGAGCCTTCACCGCAGACGTTCTATACGTGCTGGGCTGCATCGCCTGCGGCTGGGGCTCCTTCGGTATATGGGTGTACTACTTCTGGCGCTTCCAAGCGCAGTTCCGCGGCGTATCACCTCTCCTTGGATCAGCCGAGTTCACTCCCCCAGGCATCGTGGGGTGTCTAGCCTGTTTCACCACGGGGTATCTGATGAGCCGCGTCCGTCCCGGGTGGATCATGCTCGCCTCCATGACCTGTTTCACAGTCGGGAATATTTTCCTGGCCATCGCGCCCGTGCACCAAACCTACTGGGCGCTCACGTTTGTCTGCTTGCTCGTTATCCCCTGGGGAATGGATATGTCGTTCCCGGCGGCCACGTTGATGCTCTCCAACGCGTCTCGCAGAGAGCACCAGGGCGTGGCTGCGTCGCTTGTCACAACGGTCGTGAATTACAGTATCTCGCTTAGTCTGGGGTTCGCGGGCACCGTTGAGGTGCATGTTAATAATGGGGGCCGGACACCCGCCGACGTGTTGAAGGGGTACCGTGGGTGTATGTATCTGGCTATCGGACTGGGTGGTCTTGGTATGGCGCTGAGTGCATTGTATACGTTCCGGAGTTACAGGGAAGATAGAAAGATGTCTGGTGGGGATTCGGTGGATAGTGAGACGGGGGGATCGGAAAAGTCATAGACCTAGAGTTGCATTAAGGCGTTATATTGGGGTGTTTTACAGGGCTATAATAATATTTAGATTGCGTGGTTTTATCTAGCGGGGAACATCTGTATATAGGTGAACATAATTAGTAGCATCTCCTCCTGGATGTCTTCAGGATTCGAATATATCGGATTCGGGAATGAAAGAGTATAAGATCGAGATCATATCTAGTGCCTATGTCGGAAAGGGAATAGCGGCTGGGCGCTTCATCCTTAATTAAATAAATGCGCGCGAGACCCCGCAAGTCGGACAATTACGAGCGTCAACGATCGCGTTTCAATCGGTTATATCATGTATATATCCTGTCTCCTCTCTACATGACAAACCATCGCTGGGGACGCGATTCATGAGTATGCGTTTACTCCGCACCAACTACATGCCCCTGCAGCTACAGGAATTTGGAGAGGACAAGATCAACAAGGGCGAGGTTAAGTATGCAATTCTGTCGCACCGATGGGGGGACGATGAAACAAGTTTCCAGGATCTAGGACACCTGGAGGAAGACGGGAAAAAAGCTACCAAAGGGTACAAGAAAATCCAGCGCTTCCTCGAGCGAGCAGCGAAAGATGGATACGACTACGCCTTGATCGACACTTGTTGCATCAACAAGGAAAGCAGCGCCGAGCTATCCGAAGCCATCAACTCCATGTTCCGGTGGTACCACCTGGCCGGGATATGCTATGCGTACCTTCAGGACGTCTATCCGAGCAAGAACCCAGCGAATGTGGACACCCAGCTTCAGAGAAGTGAATGGTTCAAACGGGGCTGGACGTTGCAGGAACTGATCGCTCCGCCGAATTTGGTTTTTCTCTCGCGGGACTGGACTGATATAGGAGATAAGAATGATCGGAGCCAACTGATATCCAAGGTTACGCTGATAGATGAGAGCGTTCTGCGAGGAAAGACTCGACTGGGCGATTGTAGCGTCGCAAAGAGGATGTCGTGGGCTTCGTCCAGGGTAACAACCAGAACGGAAGATACCGCGTATTGTCTCATGGGTATCTTTAATGTGAATATGCCCTTGCTCTACGGAGAAGGCAGGAAGGCTTTTATTAGACTCCAGGAGGAGATCATGAAAGGGTCCGATGACCAGAGTCTTTTTGCCTGGGACGCCTCTGACCTTCAAGGCTTCAACAGCACCGGTCTGTTAGCGCTCACACCGGGCTTTTTCAAGAACTCCAGGAATATCGTCCCGTTCCGATCTCTGAAGAATAGCTCCCCTTACTCAGTGACTAACAAGGGAATCCGACTGCAGTTACCGCTGATTACCATCAGAGATGGTGGAGGGAAAACCTTTGGACGTGAAATCGTCAAACAAAGAAAGGCGCTTCTGTTGGAATGCCAGGAGGTGTCGGCGGATCACCGTGCGAAACCAGTAGCTGTAATGTTGGGTCAATTATCTGGGAGTGACTCGCAGTTCATTCGCATCAATCGTAGCCTTCACAGATACCTGTCGTGGGCTCACCTCCGGTTCGTTGAGCCTTCGGAGATATATGCAAGGAAGATCTACCAGGGCTTCGAGGAGGCTGTTATAGAGCCTGCAAGAAAATTCACAGACCCGGACGCGGGCCTCAGCAAACCCCAGCGCAACATGGTTTTATTTTTTGACGATAGATATTACAATGGCTTTCCCAAAGGTAATGGATCCGCGATTGAGACCATACACGATCTTGTTAGCGATGCCAGCAACGTGCAGGTTTGCTACTACGATCAACCCACCACGGATGATAACATCGAAAAGCGTGTAATGCGCGCGCACAAGGTATACTACCTCTCTGGTTCTGAAGATGCTTGCTTGCCGCAAATGCTGAAGATAGAATTGGTCGGCAGTGGTGTGTGGACAACTATGACCGCAGGAACAAATGGTACATATTTGGCTTTGCAAGCGGTGGCTTCGTAGCACAGATCCTGGCTCAGATTCTGGAATTCACAGGAATACGTACACCGCACATTCACGTCCAGCATGACATATGGGGTTCTTATAAAGCCTGGTATCATGCGGTGTCGCGCGGGAATCCAGATTCAGCGAGAGGTGACTTTTCTGAATTGACCTCAATTCGAGGCTGGACCCACGAATGCGCAGTTACCTTCTTGGGTCTGTTTGATTCAGTCAACAGAGCACCTGGCTGTAACCTGGCAAGGGGGACTAGCGGTCGTCAGAAAGAGGAAAACCTACCATCTGTTGTTACACATCCTGGTCTTGTCGTCCGCCATGCTGTGGCCATTGACGAACAAGACCCTTCATTACGCCCCAACCTGGGCTACGAAGCAGCCGAATGTATGCATGACTTCCAAGAGATTTGGTTTCTGGGTGGACATGCGGTGCGCATCCTCCTGTTTCTTTTGGCACCGATGGGCTTCTGACTTGCATAGGACATTGGCGGAGTAACAGACACAGACCCCAATGAGAAATGGAAACTAGGCCATATTCCTCTGGTCTGGATGATTCGCGAAGCCACAAGAGCTGGACTGGGCATCGATCCGTATAAGCTACGGGATTACTTTGATCTTGGCGAGTTAAAACAGGACCAACCTCCCCCGAGTGACGAAGACCTTCTAGAAAGCATATTCTCCAGCGACCAACTAAAGGACGGGCTATACCGCGCAGCCAAACTAAGTCATATACACGACCACTGGATGTCCCGTTACCCATCGAGCCCGCGATCAATCCTCACGACAAGCGTGCTAGAAAGCATCCCTGGCTTCGACATAAGCATAAAGACCTTTTCTGCAAGAACAGTTATCCTCAAGGAGCAATTCTTCGGGAACCGACTATGGCGCAGCACATTGAACCGCTTTCGTGGTCCTGGATTCTCCTCACAAGAAGCAAAGCCAAGCCGAGACCTCAGTCAGGATTGGGTGAAGGAGTTTCTGTACTTCCAAATGCGGTACTCGTCTCCGAAGAAACTATCCCCGACAGGCTTCGACGAGCAATTCCGAATGGTGCTTCATATCACGTCTCTGTCGTCCATAGAATGTGCTCCAAGGATGGCAGGTACCGACCGACTAACCCAATTGATGTCTTTGTTATCCTAGATCACCCGTTTCTTCATGGGGGCTGGCAAATAAAACGGCAGGCAGATTTTATTGGAGAGTATCGCATACTTGGGGGGTCACATTATGATTGTTAAGAGCAAACCTATTCCAGTCTTTTCACCCTTGTCGGGGGATTCTACGAGGGGTTGGTGCTAGTAGGCATTTATTAAAGAAGACTGTAGATGGTATGGCGTCAGTTAGGGGAACTTGGATTAGTATAGTGCGTATGGTGGGATGGCCAGTGGACTGTCTAGTTTGACGGCCTTCTAGGTCAGAGCAGCAATGTGTATGTATTCTAGTGATTTTATCATCCATCTATTATTCGTTTCACTGTCCGATTATTATATACTGACGCTAAAGGCACTCAATAAAAGAAAACCTTGCCAAACTTTACAACAGCAGAAGCAAGCCTGTCCGTGGACGGGCATAAATATTACATACCCTGATTCACAGGCGAAGCGAATGGACACGATGCTGCACGTCCCTGATGATGCCGGGCAAACCACGCAGGGAAAGCCGCATCCACCTTTCGGTTCTCCCCTTTGACCTTCCTGTTCTGATCTTCTGACCGCATCCGCAGAGATTCTTGATAACTAACCTTTGGATCAGGAAGGAGTATTTCCATGATCCATATGAATGTCCCAGCCATGAAGAGCGCCATACAGGCCAAGACCGGGTTCACCCCTTTGACCCGATGTGCCTTTAGTGTCTGAGGAAGGCTAAGACAAATGGGCAAGGCACGACCCAGGGGCCGGAGTAGAGAGGGAAAATACCGGAAGGCAAATTGATCGAACAGCGCTTCCGCAACCATGTGGCCCTTCTCGGTGGCTACTATATGATGATCCTCGACATCCTCACAGAACCTATACATCCCATCCCAATCCTCTGGGAAGCCTGGGAACTCCGAAAGAGGCCGCCAATCCTGTCCAGGTACCTCGACCAAGAACAAACGAGATATCTCTTTCCAGAACAGATAGGCTGCTATCTTCTGCTTCTCTGTGAACCCAGACAATCGCAGCTTTGTTCGTACCCGGTCTACTGAGATAGCCGTGAAGCAAAGCACATAGATATAGTCGTCTTTATGTGAGAAGTGACCCGGGTAGCTCTTCGCATGGCCGCGGTGGCGCTTGTTGATGGCGTCAATGGACTTCATTGTTTCGGGGTGATGCGGTCCATAGTACCACCAGGTGGAGAAATGGCATTGCGTCTCGCTGACTCGATCGGTCGCTTGAGTGAGCACTCTTCCGCTGCCGTTGCGCCACATCACATCGGAGACCCATTCTGTGGCAACGAAGTTGGCGAATGTATATGCGTAGAGAAGATTCTGTATGAAGTCGCCCCCGCTTGTGTATTCAATGGATAGTCTCCAGATCTTGGCGTAGTCTTTGTAGGGATCTAAGGATTCGATTTCGCGTCTGAGCCATTTGTAGGGTTTATTCGTAACCTGGAACTGAGGTGCTGTGTTTGTCATGAGTGTAATGAATCGAGTGTCCAGAGTTGCTGGAAGGGAGTATTCACTCAAGAAAGAACATAAAATACGGCTAGTAATAACATGAGCTTCCGAAGACCATTTTGTATCCTGCTTCTGCCTCTGCTGGTGTAGACTGCAATTATACTCCCAGTAAACCCCGGCAAAGGAATCACAGCCAAGAACCATTCCTCTTCAGTGTCTACAGGAATAGTCCAGCAAAATGACGCCCAACCGGCCATAGTATGATCATTATGGCTCCCCTTCTTGACCATCGCTAGTTTCTTCCAGGTCTTTCCCCTGCTTCAATCTCGACTGGCAGATTCGTAAAGCTGATGCGGGTAGCTAAGGTTAACAGCCCAAGCAAGATCATCATGGATACGCCATCCCCGAAGACGACCACAGCAAGTCCGACGAGCCCTGCGGTTCTCCCCGGCCCGTCGGGGTACACAGAACATAATCCGTTGTTGCCCGGTATGTCTCTCGGGGAGAGGCCGTTGTGTGTCGGTCCGGCTCTATATTTAGGGTTTGGGTGGGTTGCGGAAACTTGGAACTTGGTACCTTTCCCGGATTTTTCAGGTCAAGTCGCTTCGATGACAGCCATACACCATCTATAGGGAGTATTGGTACCCTGTGGGGTGACAAACCTATTAGTGTCGCCCAGAAATCATATAGTGAGACAGGTGAGATAATTGGTAATTTCAAGCATGATACCCTATGGTCTTCGCCAGGGCTTTGAACGGGAATCCTAGAGGGCAACGTTGGACAGGTTGCAAGGCTGTATGTTGAAGCCCAGACATAGAACGAAAACCCCGGTTCTAGAAGGATGCTCTCTTCGTATGTCTCGAAGACCTCTTATGCCTTCGGCCATATGGCTAAGGTAAGTATCTGTAAGAACGACAAGTCGTGATTCCTGGGTTATGTACAACACCCCACCGCATATTTGAGAGAGAAGATTTCACTTCGATGCGTTGGCACATTTAATAGGATAAATTTAATAGCGTCAGCTAAGTTAAGGCCATATTACTTTCACATACCCTTCGGACTCATGAGGTGGTGCGTTTATTCCCCCCGGAGAGTCCTTGGTGCTATACCCAAATGTGCAGGCATGTCATAGGTCCACGGTATTTGGAAGCTCGCCTACACTAAATGATAGCTAGATGTACCAGCCTTTCCCATCGCTGAGATTTAGTCAAACTGAAAATTTAGCTTATGATATCAACCGCGCTCTAAGGCACGCTTATACCATGTTTTGTTCTCCTTCCCGTTAAGGACATGGTTTGGGGAAAGCGTCCAGTGTGATGTCATTTGCAACGCTATTGCCCTAAGGAGGAATGCATGGCAAGAAAGCTTATCGCCTGCTGTAAGTCATTATATCGTATCGGAAGGACAGCGGTAGAGATGTGCTTGGTGTTCGTACAATTTCTCGTGGAGTGGCGATGCGCTTAGTTGGCGCTCGGTAGCAAGTAGCTAGTATAAGAATCTAGACCTTAGGTGTGTCTTCGCAGCTTCCGACATACATCTTGTCTTTGTTTGATATTGTCAGGTTTAAGATGTATATGTTGAACACATCCGAAGCGCTCCTCGCTGCCGCCTCATTGATAGGGGCCTATGTCATGGCTGTGCAATATTTCCGTTTCCAAAGATGTGATCGAATTGAGTCGAAGTTCCGACGGACCGGCCGTCTGTCTAGCATGACTGTCAAGGAGGCACATGATATTATGCGCCAGTTACGAGAACTTGAGTTTCCGTTTGCTTTGCGTAGCTCAACGAAGATGACGACACTCAAGGTATGTACTGTACACAGTCATAGCTACAAGCCGGGCACTGAACGACTAATCCATTCTAGACTGCCTCTGTTCCTACCGTGGCCGATCTCTTCGTTGCGACCGGTCAGCGAAGCGAGAAGAACAATACAAAACGCGCGGCTGATACGGAGGTGATAATGAATGAGATCCATGATCGTGAGGCTGGCTCCGACGCTCATGTAATGGCCTTCGCCCGGATGAATTACATACATTCCAGGTACAGGAAGGCCGGCAAGATCCTTGATGAAGATATGCTGCATACTCTTGGCTCTGCGGTGGTTGATGTGTTCCGTTCAATAGAGAAATATGAATGGCGTCAGCTGTCAGACGTGGAGAAGTGTGCGGTTGGTGTGTTTTATAGAAGTATGGGAGAGGCGATGGAAATTCCTTTCCACCTACTCCCATCCGGTAAAACCGGCTTCACCGACGGAATCCATTTTGCGCAGGAGCTGTGCGACTTCACGGTAGAATACGAAAAGACGGCAGCCAAACCAACACAGTCGACATTGTTCATTAGCAGGCGCTTAATGAGCTTAGAGACGGCCAATTATCCTTCGATACTCCGGCCTGTTGTTGAACATATCATTGCCACAAGACTAGATGAACACATCCGAGTCAGCATGGGGTAAGGCACTCAGTTCCTCCCGAATTCTTGGTTGCTGACACAAGGGTTAGTTATCGCAAACCGGGAATTACTCTTTCTTCCCTTGCTGCTGGTTCAGTGGCAATTCGTAAGTTCATATTGCGCTACCTCAGCCTACCCCGGCCGGATTTTATGGCCGTCAAGGTACTGGATGCGACTCCAGACCCATCCACCGGGCGCTACACTGTCAAAGAATGGTTGGATAATCCATGGTATGTAAAGCCGACATTTTCAAATCGATGGGGCCTTAAATCCTGGTCGGTACGACTCTTTGGAACCGGAAATGTACCCACCAAAAATGGCCCTTTCCGCGACGAAGGTTATGACATTAAAGCAATCGGTCCTCAGATTATGGAGAACAAAGGCCAAGCTGAAGTCGAAGAGATCTTTGAGAATTTTAGAAAGAGAGACATCCCGGCTGGTTGCCCATTCCATGCGTAAAGACATGTCGTCTCCTACTGTTGACGTTGACTAGATGCTTGACAATGCTCTGCAGCCAACACAAGGGGGATCGTGGTACTATGTTTCAGGATAAGACGTCTTGGTAGAGAATACTTCTCTTGCCTGGAAACTATAGGTGATACTTGACCAGATCTGTTCTGGCTTTCTGGTTGTCGAAAAAACTGTTGCATGCTTGATATTATGGAAGCAATAGCATTATATACTTGTGAAGCAGTTTTTCTGGGTTTGCTTGCGTTCTTTGTATCATTGAAGAGTCATAAATGACGATTAAGCAATCCAATAGGACTTTTGGCTTCTTCACTTGGCGCAAATCTCTTCGCGGCAAGCGAAACTGGAGTGACCCAGATACAGCTTTGGTCGACAACCAAGCAGGATCGAAAATCTCCAATGGCAGTATGACTCCGCAATTGAATTATATGCTATGCTAGAAGTATGTCCGGAAAATAATATTGTACATATCGTGCGTGAAGCGCTAAGGCCCTAACTACTTACCAAAGCACCACGACTTTGCCTTCCGCACGATTCTCTTCCATGCTTCGATGTGCTTCAACGATCTGGTTAGAGAAGTAAATTCGTATATTCGGCAGTCTCAAGTGGCCAGTCTCGACCTCATGACAGAGCACGTCCAGTGGGAAGTTCTTAAAGTCTTCCGCGGTGCTCTTATATGTTGTAAAGGATACGGTAGAAGGAACAGCATCCATCGGATTGAAGTCCGGAATTGTTGAGTCGCCGCCTACCGCTCCGGCCAGACAAACAATTCCGTATGGTCTTACACATTGTAAGGAATCAGCTATAGTTTTTGTACCAATGAGATCTAGGACCTTTGTGAACTCCATTCCCTCTGACTTGATCTGTTGTGATAAGGATCCATCATCAATCAAAATCTTATTAGCCCCCGCACCTTCAAGAAGCTCCTTCCGGGATTCCTGGCGGGTAGTGGAAGCTATGAAAGAGCAATGCCGCTTAGCGATACATGCAGCTGCGAGACCAATCGCTGTTGTGCCACCACGTATCAGGAGGCGATCATCCGGATGAAGACGCAGAGCGCGAAATAGGGCATTCCACGCGGTCGGGATCATCTCTGAAAAGACGGCGAGGTGTTCCCAAGAAAGCTTACATAGTGGGTGGACTCTTCGAACGTGGGTGACTGGGACACGAGTATACTGTGCATAGCTACCTGGGTAATCTGGAAGTAAATCCCTTATCATAGCAACGACTCTCGTTCCGGGCGCGAGCGTACCCTCACCCGCTGTCACAATGCCAACAGCCTCCCGACCCATTATTTGTGGGAAACTGGCATCGGCTGAATGTCCTTGCCGGGCGAGGATGTCAGAGCGACTAAGACCAAATGCTTTGACTTCAATTAGGATTTCCCCAACTTTTGGAGGAGGCCTGGGATAACTCTCAAGGTGTAGTACCTCGGGAGGCCCGGGCTCATTGGCCACGATTGCTTCCATAACGGACTGATAAGGTCAATCATTTAGTCGCCAGGACCAAGCCAAAGACAATATTAAATGGAAAAGAAAAACAAACGAGGGAAAGAGCGCCGGTCGGACAGCAATGTTGCTCAGAGCAAGGGTATTTCATTCTATTGAAGAAAAAACCTACATTTTTAGGGTAATGTTTCTGCCATGCAGGCCGTCCTTCTTTCCGGCTAACCCAGACATTACCAGCGTTCCAGGCATCCTTGGAAGTTATACGGCCGCCAATGCCGCTCTTCTTCAGTTCTCGCGCGACCAAACTAGGTCTACTGCCCTTTGCGACCGCCTGTGCCGCGAGCTCGCGAGCAGCGGTGGTGAGTTTATAGTCGAGTGCAGAGATGTCATGATTGTGCGGTTCCTTGCCTCGCGTGATCGTCATGTAATAGCCATCACTAACAATCCTGATCCGACATGGACAGCCAATTGGTTCACGGACGGTCCGCTTCCGTTTACGCTGTTCATCCGACACGCTCGGCTCGTAGGCTTTGGTACGCCATAGTCGACACCAATAGTATGTGGTTGTTTTCTTTTGTCCGTGTCTAGCCTGGTTCCGGACGTATATGTTGTCTAAATATTTCCATGCATGGTTAAATTCGGTCACGGAAACCGTGATCGGGGACTCTAGTGCGAAGATCTCCGCGCGAAGCCGTAGGATATTGGGAGGAATGTCTAATTGCGGCGTGGGCTCATTGGAGGACTCCGGCACCGGGGAAGGAGAGTTCTCCGCCGAGGATAACATTGTGTCTGTGAAATAGGAGGCGGATATGCTAGTGAAGGAACGTGGATGCTTGGTGCGATGATCGCAATCCGGTGGATACGGATCATTATGTTCTTCCGTTCCCGATCCCCGGTACTCCGCTGACTCAACACAAGAGTTGTCTTCATTAACTACTATACAGAGTGACAGTGGTACTGCATTCCCAAACCCCGAGGAGCATAGCCGCTTTTCATATCTGTAATTATTGCTTTGATGAGGATTGTCGAGGACTGTCAACTTGAACGAGAGTCCTTTCTCTTGTAGGTAGAACGTCTATATACAACATTTACGCCGAGCTGAAGTTAATTTATAAACTAAGAAGATTTAATGAAACACTTAGCTAATAAGTAGATGTTGACAACTTAATAGAATACTGGGCCATGGTATAGCTCAATGATCACTCAATAACAGAGTTGATCTAGTAGTAGAAATACTACCCGACATCAAGCCAAATAGTATAAAACTTCATATGGTGGTATCTCTCTATCTAACAGGGTGTCTTTCTATCTAGGATGTGGCTGTATGATGTCTCGATAGAAAGATATCACATTTTACGACATAGCGTAAACGGCGTCAAGGGTTCTGTCGGAGATAAGAGGAATCGAGGACTTTCACGCATTGCGGGCATATCTAACTGAGCTCCATCATTCTTCAAGAAAACGAATATTTGACTAGGCATTTTCTATTGTGGAGACGCAAATATCAAACAAGGTGCCAGGGGCATACATCAAGAAAGAGTAAAGAACCATTACTCTTCCATCGGACTTCGTGCACTTTTCGTCTCACTGCCTATAGATTCAGTATCTGCATCGTACTTTTGAAGATTATGCCCGCGATAAAGCTTATTGCTAGAAAGATAGCATTTGAAGCATAGCCGGAAGTCTGGGCAATCGCAACATTCATAAGAATCACCTATAAGTTGCTGTATGAATTTCTCTTAGCGTTGATATATATGAACGTAGAATAGAAGCAGAACACTCACCATTAAGCATGCCTCGCAGAACCCGGATATATCCCTTCGCCCCTTCTCGAACTCTTCTCGTGGTGGATAAAAGATACACAGCCAAAACCGCTCATTTTTCCTTCCTCTCAGCTGCCTCTGACTGGGCTTGAGAAGTTTCACAATTTCTTCATCCAAGTCGTAGTATAGCGCTAGCTCGTACGGTGTCCACATATGCTCCACCCCAGAACCTCGTATCATTATTTCTGCACCATGGGATTTGAGTTCCTCGATAATAGCACCGCGGCTCAGCGGTACTCGTCTGCCAGCGTAGGCACTCCCTGACAGCCCAAAAGAGCGGTGTCCAGCCATCACAGTCCTCCTCATTAACTAGCATAGGCTTCCGCTGGATAATGAACTTGACAAGGTCGAGACGACCGCTCACAACGGCAAAGTGGAGGGCGTTTCTTCCTAGGATGTCTTTTTCAAATAAATCGGCGCCGTTTTCGAGCAAGTACTGAACGTGTTCGATGGTCCGGTACAATGCAAAGTGAATAGGTCTTCGACCCATTGCGTCATAGCCACGGACAGGGACACCGCGGTCGACCAGGTTGCGAATGATCTCCATGTCCGCAGTCAGACAGGCAAGGCTCAAGTTATTGCCCCATCGCTCGCTTTTTTGATCTCGATCCACCTCAACCACGTCTAACAAATATTTTAATATAGCGCGCTTCTCTTTCTCGTCTCCATCCCTCAGACAGGCAAACTGAAAGGGCGTTCCATCGTGAACTTCGTCCAGGCTTGCTTTATTGTTGGCCAGCATCTGAACCATCTTCAGCGAACCATACAAGCATGCGCTGCTGAATGCTGTGTGACCTTGACTGGTCCGAATATCAGTTGTGGCGCCTCTGGAAAGAAGAAATTCTGCTTTTGGTATGTTGTTTGTTTGAACCATTGTCATTAGGGGGGCTTCATCGTAAGCATCTATCGTGTTGACGAACGCGCCCCGATAGACGAGGAGTCGAAGGATCTCTATGTTTGTCTCGCCCCGAATGCAGTTAAGGGGTGTTCTTCCATCGTGGTCTACATGTTCAATAGGGAGGTTATAGCGGAGCAGTCTTTGCAGAAGCTTGACGTCGTTGGCTTCGACACACTTATGCAACTGTTCCTTATTGCTCTCTATCACGTCGGGATGTGACGGATCCATGCCTGCATCGAGTAACTTAAAGATCAACCTAGGATTTCCAGTTCGAGCAGCAGACGACAGCAGACTATCGCCATCATTCGATGTGCAGTGTAGATGTGGATGGTTAATGAGAAGCTCATCGACACAAGCCTCCTGGTTCCATTTAACCGCAAGCATCAGTGCGGTACTGCCATCACTAGTTCTGGCGTTGATATCAACGTCAAATTGAAGCAATGAATGGAGGATTCTCGCGTGATTAGCGGCCGCATGTATGGGTGCCCAACCCTTCCAGTCAGCTCGGGGGTCTGCTTTTGCCTCGAGCAGCATCACGGCTATCTCTTCAAACCCTGAAGATGCGGCCTGGTATAGTGGCGTTCGTGATCCAGAACATAAGCTCTTCCTGTCAATATCCGCCCCTGCTTGAATGAGCATCTTTGCAAGTTTCGGTTTGTTTTCCTGTACCGCAGATCCCAAAAGGTTGGTGACTGGGTCTCTATAGACCTCGTGACTGACGTAGTTTTGTATTTCCTTCAGTAAGACTTTTATCAAATCAAAATCACCTCCATCAGATTTTACCGCAAGCTCAATTGCATGGGTGAGAATAGTTTTATCCAGCCCAGCATTGGCCTTTATCACTGTTTGAAGCATATTGCTAGTTCCCCTCATCGCGATTGAATCTATCATGCCCTTATCTGCTTTGCGAAAGTAGGCCTTGAATAGGCATTCGAAACATGCCGTTTTTCCATGGTCAATAGATATTTGCAAGAGATCTTCCACAGATTCTGGTCGCACGTCCCGGGCTTCGAGGATACCAAGGAATGATTGCAGAATTCGATATTGGCCAGACCTCACTGTATCTTTCAAGATTCTTTGCACATCGCGTCTTTCTGTCTGTTGGCTTTCTTGGCTTAGACTGTCGTGTTGCTGACCATCACTTGCTAGGTCTGCCAGTACGGTTTCCATCAGAAATACAGAGGTATCATGGTGGCGATGCTTCAATGAAAGGCCAAGAGACATAATCTGATCGGCTCCCGATATTCTGTTCTGCTGTTCGTTGCAAATAGACTTCACTATTTCCAGGTTTTCCAGAATACTTGCCGCTCGGAGCAAGGCTGCTCCAAGACCGCGCTGACTGTCTGTGCGTGTACACCATGTACTCAGCTCTTGGACAAGGACATAGTGGCCCAGACCAACGGCCTTTTCACAGATATCTGAAATGTCATTAAAGCTCTCCGATCTCACGAGTATTTCATCCAGGAGGAGATAATGGATGTTCTCATCAGGTAGAGAAAGTGAAGCTGAGAGAGCATCTTTCAAAACCCCCTTGTCAAATTTTCCTTTATTAATTAGGAAACGGAGGATAGTACCCTGCTGGCAAGCAGCCGCTGTGACCAGAGCGGTAGAAATGTCCTTACCAAACCAAAGGGCGCGAGCATGACTAGCCATCGCTCTGGCTAGAAAGCCTTCCAATCCATGCTCTGCAAAAATACTCATGGGACCAGCTTGGAGGCCAAGTCTGAGGAAGGTCTTGGAGAAAATTGAATAAGCCGTAGCCCAGCTCTCCAAGAGCGAGTCATCCTTCAACATAGTTTGCAAAGCGGTACAATCACTCCTGTACTCCATTCCTCCCTTCTTCGCATGCACCGGCCAATATTTCACGGCGTAAAGAAGAAAATGGAGGCGTGGCTCCGTTCCAGTCATATCTTCCCATTCGCCGGGTGAATATTGTCCAAGAAGTGACCGAGCTTGGGATGAGAGGATCAATTCCAGACATAATTCTGTGGTTTTGGCATGTGCCTGGCCACGAAAGCTGACGCCTGTTATATCCTCGCCGCTGGATAGAATAAAGTCACGCAGATCAGGGTGGCCCAAATGGACCTCATTTCCATCCAGCTTGAGCAGGCCCGGAGGGCATAATTGAATCGCCTCTGATTGAGAGGAATTGACTCTGGATTTGTAAGTCCATCCGGTTGAATGTGCAAGGTCTAGAAGTTCCTGGATAGTCAAAGGGCGGAAGGCAAGTACGATGAGTTGTAATATCTGGATCTTGTTTGTCGCTTTCAGAAATTCAGTGGCCGATTTGAGGATGTATTGGAAGACAAGTGCCTTTGGAATTGTGTCACCGGCTGCGGTCTGGTCTAGCAAAGCTATGACTATGTTTTGATTGACGAATGGCAGCCATTCCATTAGCATTCGGTGCAGGTCCGGATCTGCACTTGACGATCTGAGAAGAGCATTCAATTTGGAGCCGACAATTTGCAGGGCTGGATTGCTGATGATGATTTCTGTGGCAGGTGTGTCCAGACCTCGTTGCTCGCCACTGCCACTGACACCGTCAATATGGTCATATGTAGTTGCCGGATAATCCAACACTTGAAAGACACTCGAGGTATCAGTGAAATATTTGCAATTGACCAGTAGCGCTTTGAACTTAATCTCAGTGCCCCGAGTGAGAACTGCAAATTTGTCAAGTAACCAATGCTCCTGCAGTATATTTTCATTGAGGTTGACCAGAATCCAAACAATCTCCGGGCACGTTGGCATTGATAGCACTTCTAGCAGTAAAGAAAACTGATCTTCCATGTTCAGTCTCGGAGACTTCCCATCGCTCGGACTCAGCTGATTCAATGCGTCGAATGCCTTGACGTATTTACAACAAATCTCGGTCAGAAGTGTAGATAACATGCAATCGACGCTGTTATATCGGCAATCATGTTCATTGAATTCAAAATACTGAATCAAGCAGCGCTGAGGATTATCAGACGAGCAAGCGTTACTGAGACAGTTCTTCCATAGCATCGAAGCTGCAACAGCAGCAGGGGCGTTTTGAACAACCAGGAAAGGCCGACCAGGGGACGAATCCCAATCTTGAAACTTTTGACTTTGTATGAGCTTCTCTATATGAAGTTTTCTGTTTGTATCCCAAAAGGCTTCGTCAATTGGAAACTGTCTGGGAGATGAAAGAAATGTCATTTTTCGCAAGGGCCATTGTCCTGTACCTTGACTTTTAGCTAAAGGGGTTAGCCACGCACCACAGCGATCCAACGTAAGCTCTCTTATTTTATTCTGGGCTTTCCTGGATATCTCGTGCGACATATCACGGTGCGAGTTTTGTCTGTTTTCCTGATATCCTTCCCAGGCCGAATAGAAAGACATTTGTGTTTCTGGTGAATCGAACACCTACGATCATATCATAGCATAGCATCAGCACGATAGCACAATATAGTTCTCATCATAGTAGATAGACATACGCGCTCTTCGTCATTTTTACTCATGGATGACACATTCCATATAAAGATATATTGCTGAGAATTCGCCTCGGTGAAGTCTTGGTTAACCTGATTTATAACTCTGGTCATACTCGCTATTACGGCATCTGTGCATTCGTTTTGACATCTGCCATTTGCGCAAAATAGACGAGCGACCGACTCCTTCAGCGAGTCCGAAGATTGGCAGCGATGTGGACACCCGATGAAGATCTATCAACATTAATCCATACTCACATTAACCAACTATTTGATACGGACCAGAGCAAACGTAGACGAAAAGATACTTCTAAATTTTGGATCCCCAAAAGCAGCTTCGGTGAGAGCCTGGAATTAAATGAAATCAAGTTAGCATAATTTGGTTTCTTTTGTAAATTCGGTAGAGAATAAGTAACCAAAATAAAATAGGAATCAAAATCAAAAACCTTCAGAGTACCTCTTTGATCAAAGTCCCACCAACATCATGTCCCACAAAGAGCAACCGCAAATCTCTCCCCCTATTCAAATCACTTATTGCTTGAAGCAAGCGCACGGCCTCGGATCGAAGGCCTTCTCTGGTGAAAATGTTTCTTTTTCCGTCCTTGACAGGATAGCTATACATGGCTACCTGGGCGTTCTGATGCTCGAACCACCGGACGTAGCCAGATGCACCACCGGGTAGCGTATCCCACGTATCATTTCCTTCGCCGCCGATCCCGTGGATGGCGATTACACTGAAATGTTAGGAGCCAATTATACTAACGTAATGTAAGTAGTAACGTACAGATAGTTGCTGGAACTGGCTGGGCGATTTGTGATGTGTAGTCCGTACATGGTCGGGATGACGATCGCTGGTGACGAAGAATCAGTATTTCTGGTTGGACTTCAATGATCAGATTCAAGCCAAGCAAGATTTATAACGGATAACTTGCTTCATACAAGAACTGGGACAAGGCCTACTTAGGGCAGAGATAATCTTATAAGAAAATATGTGTGATAGACTGAGAGCAAACGAGCACGAACTAGACCAACAGGGAGCCCTGTTTCATCTATCGGGATGAAACCAGTCCCATACAGGTCGCGAATCCCACGTAAGATAGACTATCTTTGTTTCGTGGTGTCTGTCATCAATGTTCGAAGAGTCACACTGGAAGTGCTTTCAAGTCTCTGTGGCAGGAATATAAAGAACATCCGCATCCTAGGGGGCCTTTTTTAAAATCGCGCTGATCCTAGAATATGTGTCTGCTTTCGCTTTTAGAGTAACGATCGCTTTGAAGCACAGGTCATCTGCCCGTCTGAGTAACATGAAGTCTGCTTTCGATCATATCAACGGGCCACGGCATAATAACAGTGAGAACAGGCTGGAGGTTGAAGCCTTTTGATCAGTTGTCTGAAACCGTTATCAAACAGTGTCACGCTGCTGTTGGCTTCAGCATGGCCCAATTAGGATGCTCGAATCGAGAGAAAGAATAATTCTCGCGGACAAAAGCTATCATCCATTGCCACTTCCATGACGTTGAAACCCTCAAGTTGCTGTGTGAAACTTCCACCCTGTGATTGACGTAAACTATCTTGTCCAATATGAGGCTTACAATCAAGCAGCTGTTCCAACATACGGTAGATCTGATCGAGTCACGTTTCTTTACCGCAACAATTATGCTACTTTCTAGTATCGTCGCTAACTTCTGTCGGGATCAGAGTGATATCTTTCATTCGACTGAATGGTACGAGGTGTATTCCTCTCAGTGAGAATACAAGGCTAAGGAGCGACAGGGAAAAAAGAATAAACAAAAAATAGTAAAGAAGTTGACTGGCTAATGATAAGACGGAGACAAAACAAAGGCCTCCTATTATACATTGCTTAAATACGGAGCATGCCAGTAGCCATGGTGACGAGCGCAACCACAAATGCAGCACCGAGGCAGGAGCTTGACAGCGTGGAAGCACCACTGGAGGCAGTGCTGGATGCGGCACTGGCACTGGAGGACGAGGACGAGCTATTGCTGGACGAGATGGTGTTCGTACGGAACAGAGAAGTCGTGGATGTTGTCGAGTTCGAAGCAGTTGACACATTCGATGCTTTGATGCTGGTGTAGGAGCCAGTCTTATCGGTGTAGGTATACGACTTGGCAGGGTTGTAGTTGATAACCTTGATCGACTCCACATACATGGTGAAAGGGCTGTCATCATAGTCGGTCTCCCCACCGGCCCATTCAATGGTACCCTCCTCGTTGTCGGGGTCACCGCCAGCCCAGATACCGATCTTGATCCGGGACGGGGTCTGGGGGAAGTTTTCGCCATCCAGCGCATCGGCGTAGTTAAGGGTTCGGACAACGCTTCCATCGACGAGCCATTCGATTTTGCTTGAAGTCCAGTTGATCGCGTAGGTGTGGAATGTCTCTTCGGGCGTAGACACGGTCACTGTAGTGGCGCGATCGTACGAAGTGGTGTTGCCCTTGCCAAAGTAGTTGGTTTGGATTTGGTTATCATAGGAGCTGACTTGTTCCTGGTGATATCGTTAGCCCCCTCATCGACAGGGTTCAATGATAAAAGACATACCCAGTCGATCTCGTCAAGATCGTCAGATTCGATCACTAGCGTGCTGACAATGCCGGTGCCATTGGCAGCCCTCATCTTCATTTCTACATAACCGAAGAATATGTAGAACTCGCTCTCTATGGTGGGAGCATCGCCCTGCTCGTCGATAGAAAACTCAGCACCCAGTGATGTGCTGCTCACTGTGCCAGCCGTGGTGTTCCAGTACTTGAAAGCTGACTCACCCGAGGTGAAGTCAGTATATAAGGTGGAGTTTGCCAGGCCTGCATCTGCGGGACAGGTCTCTGTCGGATTCTCATTAGTACTCGCAGCAAATGCCTGCTAATGAAAAGGGATTCGGTCAATGCCATACTCTTTAGAGGGTTACAGCTAGTGTAGGTTTGCGCAGTGCACAACTGTGCTACTAGAGCAACTGCTGTCGCAGACCACTTCAAAGCCGATGAAAGAGTCATGTTACACTTTGTGCAGAGGGACGGGGTTGGAAGTCACTGCGAGTGGATTGTAGAGGGGATCAAGCAATGCAGCTATGCATGTGCTAGATGAACAAGGACAAACTATATAAGGATAGGTATACGGGGAACGTAAAACATATGGCTGAGAGATGGATAAGAATTTTGACAGATCGGAGATAAGAGTGAGACAAATCTTGGACATTTGCAGGCGTCGTACCCATCAGTCGGAAGTGGCAACTAGGTAAGCCACCTGCTGTTCCTAGGTTCTTCCCAGGTCTGTTCGACTATAAACCATGGATATAGCAAGCAACGACACTGGTCATTGGATGCATCGAGCCATATCAACTTGTCTTTGCTGGCCCGCTTCCAGCCATACGATGCAAAGGACATCCTCAGCCGTCGCCATGGCATTGAGACAAAAGTCTGTCGATTGGCCATGAACGGTGGGGAGAGCAAAGCACAATCGCTAAAAGTATTGTTGTAGCCTATGAGAAGTGGATCCAGTTCAATGCTTGGCTTTTGTGGTTGACTCTGCAGATTGCGTGGTTGCCCGAAAGCTGATATCGGAGCATACGTATGCCTCGCTTGAGTTTTCTCCGCCCTTTGCCCTAACGAGACCACACTGTTGTACACATCAAGTCCACATCCATTGGCAACAATCTTCATTGGTGACGACAGATTTGCAACGCTGTTTCAGAAGACTATTTGAAACATGTATCTCTTTCAAAAAAATAAAAAAAAAAAAAAAAAAAAATAAAAAAAAAAAAAAAAAAAAAATTCCCCAATAACCCGAAGCTCTCGGCGTTCTCGGATTATTTACCTTGGGAGACGAATCGCGACACCCCCCACTTGGTTTACTCAGTATAGGAGGACTAGTATTTTTGGCAGCGCTAATGAAGCCAGGTGTGTCTACGCCAGCACTTTGAAAAGCGTCTATTTTAGCGTGGTCTCTTGCAAGGGAAAACAAAAGAAAGTGGCTAATAATTGGGACAATGATCCAAAGTAAAACTTTTATTTGGAACATACGATAGATTCAACAGATTCAAAAATAGCTGAGACTTGTCATAGTCCAAGAAGAAGATATTTTACGGCTTTGCCGTAGGGCTCATGAGTTGGAGAGCTTCACTGCAGTGCCTCTCCCTCCAATGACCCCGGTTCAACTCAATACCGTAAGTCCGACAGTCACGAAATTTGACAGAAGTGTACATTCAGCGTCAGGGGCCCTGAGTGTTTTCCTTCAGGAGCTTCAGCTCTCCTCATTGATGCATAGGCAGTAGGTACTATACTCTGCATTTCTTCATGTACATGCGAAATGGGGGTTTTGGCGGTGTTTTCCTGTATTAGTGCAACCTCTTGAGACAATGAAAGAAAAATAAAAACACAGAGAGAGGGACAGTCCAAGTAACGGGGACAGTTTTCATAGTGAACAAGTAGTCTTCCGGCCACCACGGACTCTCTCCAGTTAGTGCCCAGGTCTATTGGGAATTTAATGACTGCGTGGTGTCAACAGAACGTCCTACAAATAAGATCGAGCATTAGCCTGAGGAGTCTACGTCAGACAATTCATAATGTGAATTGTTGCACCGTACATAAAGCTGTGCCAAGAAGAACCGGCGATCCACCTTCTCGAAGGACGTATGAATGCCGCTCCACTCATAGCCACCGACCAAATGCCGGGCAGTAGAAGAAGCCAAGACGCTTCCACTAAAGCTTCAGATTGCTTAACTGCTGACGTAGACTACAGAAGCCCTCAAAACAGCAGAGTTATTGGTAGAAGGGAGGAACTCCACCATCTCATTTCCCTCCAGGCGACTAAATTTTGAACCTTAATGAAAAGAAGATGGATTCCTTATGCGATATTATCTCCAATCCTCGGACATTTCTTTTTCAGAAATATTTTAGATTCGTGATTTTGTACTCAAGCCATAGATGCTCAGTTCCGGATTCCTGCAACAAATAGTATATGGCAACAGAATTCAGACACAATGGTTCACGGAGTGAAATGGTTGAATGGAGCGGCGTTGATATACTTGGGGATTCAGTTACTGCGCACAGTGAAGGCTTTTTCTGTGGATGTCAGCTCTGAGCGTATGTTCATTGACAATTTTCTCCTATATTCATGTAGTTGTGCTCATTTCAGGCGGCTGCGATTACAGAATCCATCAAAGATGCGGCCAGCACAGCGGCCTATGGAATGATGCACTACTATCACGGAAACGAGTCCGGCAATATCCCTGGGAAACTACCCGACACCTGGTGGGAAGGTGGTGCCATGTTTATGACCCTTATCGAGTACTGGCACTTCACGGGCGACACGACATACAATGACGAAGTGAGCGTGGGAATGCAATGGCAAGCAGGAGACGGAGACTATATGCCTTCAAACTGGAGTTCCTATCTCGTGAGAATAATCGTCTGCGCTACAGTATTTGTCTGAAAGGCCTAATTATGAGTAGGGAAACGATGATCAAATGTTCTGGGGGCTGGCCGCGATAACAGCTGCCGAGCTGCAGTTCCCCGAAGTGAGTGATGGATACTCGTGGCTTTCTCTTGCCCAAGGAGTGTTCAACACACAGGTCAAGCGGTGGGATACCTCATCATGCGCCGGGGGAATGCGTTGGCAGATCTACACCTACGAAGCCGGGTATCGTATGAAAAATTCTATCTCGAACGGTGGTCTATTTCAACTGGCTGCGCGCCTCGCTCGCTATACCAATAACCAGACGTACGCCGATTGGGCTGAAAAGATCTGGGACTGGTCGGCCTCAACTCCTTTATTGAACACCAACACTTGGAATGTTGCCGATTCAACCGATGTGGATGATAATTGTACATCACAAGGTAACACGCAGTGGACCTATAATTATGGTTCTTTCATTGGCGGTGCCGCATACATGTATAATTATGTGAGTTTGATACCCTCCGCCTTGTCGGAGATACCTGGCAATCTTTGGATTTAGTGTAGGCGATTACTGACCGCGCATCATTACTTAGACGAACGGCAGCACTACATGGCTTAATGCCGTGAATGGCCTACTCAATGCAACTATCGACGGATTTTTCCCGACTAAATACGGCGGCAACATCATGTCCGACTACACTTGCGAAACTACCCAAGTCTGCAACAACAACGAGATTATTTTTAAGGGGCTACTTTCCATGTGGTTGGCCTTTACAGCTCTACTAGTGCCATCGACATACAGCACGATTATTCCCAAACTCCAAGGTTCCGGTGTGGCGGCTGCTGAAACCTGCACTGGACACAATAACAACAGTTGCGGTGTCGTATGGTATAACTCGACTTGGGACGGTTGGAATGGACTGGAAGAGCAGATGAGCGTTACGAGTATCTTGGCAGCAAATATGGTCGGGCTGAATACCTCAGGAGCGCCCGTCACGTCGACAACCGGGGGAAATAGCACGAGCAACCCTACAGCTGGAGAAAGTGATGATGAAGGTAGCTCTTCTACAACAACAAAAGTTACAACGGGCGATGTTGTCGGCGCGTCAATCGTTACTGTTGTCCTCGTTGCTATACCTATTGCTATGGTAGTGCTACTCATCTTTACATAGATTTCCTGATTCAGAACACACGATAGCAGATATATACCCCATGAATGCATATCATACAACACATCTTGTCTATTCATCGCTCTGCACTATCAGCCAACCCTGGCTCCAGCCTAATATCCAAGACCATGGCAACACACTCCTGGTGCCGTGAGATTTGCGATACAAGTTCACCGTCCCACACATCAAACGAACAACTTTGATACAACCGTCGTGCAGCGTCATTATTTCGTTCCACGATAGACACCACTAAGAGTCGACTTGCCCCTGCCTCAGTAGCTGCCGTGCGTACCTCACTCACAGCCCGTTCAATCAGCCGACGACCGTGCCCTTTTCGTCTTCCCGTCTCGAGAACAAACATGCCACCAAGCATATACACCAATGTCGCGTTATGCGACTCCATTTCAGACAGAACTCGCTCATCTGGCAGAAGAAACACATCCCAAGGTGTCTTTGAGAGGACCTCGTTGTCTTCAGGCAGCAACCTAGGCCCTACTATAGTGACGGTGCCCAACCATTCTCGACTCAAAAGAAGCGCCAAAGAATCCACTTTGTTGTCCTCTTGGCTGTCATAAGCGATAAAGGAACGCGCTTGCGGGTTGGTAACTCGAGCTAGCCATTTCTCGTATGGAAACTCAACTTCGTCTTCGTACTTGGAAGAGAAGGCTTTTGGATTCTCCTTCAGTCCTTTTAAGCGAAGGTCTCTGTATCTCGCGATTATGTCTTCTAGGTCTGTCTGGTGGGCGTATTCTTTGGGAATACGTGCGACGTTGCTGTTTTGGGGTGTCGTGGGTGCTGGAGGGGGAGACATCGTAAAGTCTTCTACTTGAGATAATGATGGTCTAAGTGGGCGAGAAGGGTATACGATATGGAGTGAGAAGGTCTTATCTATGTGATGTGCAATTCAGAGTATGAGTCAACTGTCTTGTCAAGGCATGGGTTACATTCAGGGTCTGACGCGGGAGGGGAAATACGAGGTTGTGTGGTATTCGTCCAATAGATAACTAAAAGGGCGTCCTAGTGTTGATTTAGCTATTAGACAGCAGAGTAGTTATAAATGACCATCCATATCTCCCGAATCTATTCATTTGACAGTGCTGAGCTTAACCAACAAACCACGTATTCTCAAGCATGGCCATACGGGATAGTGATTTTTCTTAGCCTAAACATACGTAGTGAGTAGAGCTCTAAATAGAAGCCTTTTGCTCGCCAAGCTTGTACTAAATACCGTTTCCAAGTAGCCCTAGAATGCATAATGAGCATGCGCTGTCTCCATCATCTTCGACAGTGAGTCACTCTATATAGAGCACGACTAAGGGCCGCTAATGCTCTGAGTTGAAAAAGACGTCAGCCTTGTAACCTCCATTACTCGGGAGTGTCCTGTTAATCTCCATCTACTCACAGTACTTAGTGTTAGCGGTATAGTCTGATAAGCAAGAGGTAAGGTATATACTAGTAGGAGAGCTGAAGAAGGCATACGGTGTTGATCAAACGAATATAGACGAATATTTGTATATTCCCAGGCACACGGAAAGGCAAACGAATACTTGTTTTAGCAGGGATGGCGGCCAGGATAGGTTCATGCAAGGAGAGTATTGTACGATTGACTTATAGCCACTCCGAGAGCCAAGCCAACAGTTTAGCTTCGTCAATTTTAAGTGTTGGTCAAAACAATGACTGTGAGACTTGGTATTGTACATGTTGTCTCTATGGTCAGCCTCCAAATAAGCGTCCTGGGGTTAGTTGCTACCGGCCTCGTGCATAGTTATTGTCATCATGGTATACACTATGATACTACACGGTGTCAAAATTACCCATGGGAGCCCTCAATAAATCGGGTCCTATTCAGTTATTGCCAGAAATAAAGTGTTATGGGGATCAGCCAAGACCTCGAAGCCGTAGGATTCGTGTCGGCAAACAAAGAAACATCTTTTAACCGCTCGAACCTTAACGGCATCATAGCCACCAATGCGATCCACAAGACAGGATCTAGAGTGTAGTTGCATATCCTTGTGGAGCTAAGCCTGAACCTGTCTACCGTGTATTGGAGACATAAAAGTTTTGTTTCTCCACAGGCATTTTTCTGCAAGTTCATCATCCTGTCAACTGCAATCGATTCTAGTATGATAAAATCATGGAAAGCTATTATAAAAACCCATATACTCCTCTCAGTACCGAGGACGAAAATACATCCTCCGATGCTCTGCCCACACAGGCCCAGAGGAATCCAGTCTATACCAATAAGGGAATTCTAACTCTTACGACTTCATTATTTCTTCTATGCGCTGGTCTAGGTGCGGCACTATACTATCAAGTTAATTCAGCCTGTGGGACTAGTTATGTACCCAAATTTTCACATATCAAGGGTCAGTCCCCATCTTCAACGATGCTTTCAAACTGGGACTAACATCGAGAAGTACCTCATCGAGCAGTGACCTTTCTTCCACACAACGAGTACACAGAACAGCTTCCAGATGAGCCGGGGTCGGTATGGGATAACTTAATACCTCGTGAGTCGTAATCGCAGAACTGTTTGTCTGTATATCATTGCTCACATATCAACAGCTGGGAGAGGCTTTGTTACTGCAAAGCGGACAAACTCGGGATCTTTAGCCTTCGAAGAGCACTCCTCGGTGTCCTCTGACGAAGATCCATCCAAAGAATACTATTGTATCTCAGCTTTCCACCAGATGCACTGCCTCGTAAGATCTGATCCAGTATACTGCATACGTTAAACCCTTGTACTCACATAAACTCACCAGGCCATCATTTTCAATGCCCTGTACTCAAAGAACCATTCAGATCATCATCATAGGGACGATCATAGCGATCATACCAAGCACTGCATCGATTATCTTCGACAGGTTCGATTCCCTGAAAAGCCATTCATTTACGGGCCATATGTACTAATAACAATTCAAACAGTCCATAATGTGTGCGAGTGATGCGACGCTTGAGGGCTCAGGGGTGCTAGGGGGAGGCAGGAACCGGGCTGTCGACGGGTGGAACAATACGCATCAGTGTCGAGACTGGGATAGCCTGTATGACTTTGCATCACGCCATCGCATGTTGGATTCGGACGGTATTGTGTAAGTGTATATCTCAGGGAAAGGAACCTCCATTGCTTGGACGGTGCTCAGGGGCGGGAGACCTCCAAATATCATACCACATTGCAATGGGTCGATAACCTTCTTACCAATTCATGGCCTGAAGCACGGTTACTGAGCGGGGGAGTCGTATTTTGGGCCATCACATCTATTTGGGGCAGGCGTGGGCCATTGGAATTACATCAATATGAATGAGGCACTGCCGGACCTTGTCTCTGAGCCGCTCTCACGTGGCCCTGACAAGTTAGCCATCTAGATACTCTCAGGCCAAAGAACATTAATAGGAAATAGTTAATACCATAACCTGGACAGTGCACTGTCTCAGGGGAACAGCTAACCCTGCCGACCGGCAATGACCGTGTGGCTCAACTCTAACAGTCATATGTTCCAACAGCCCTCAGGATCATTGAAAAAGATATTCCGTCCCATCTGCACAATAGTCAGTGGCTAATAAGGTTATGACCGTGTGCAATACTCATGATTTGCCAGAGTGTGAGCTTGTGAATGGGAAAGCAAATATCCCAGCTTCTTGTTATGGCAACCTGGTATCGAATCATGGTACAGCATTTGTGTGGGCATGATCTCATACGTCTTCCACACAGTACAAGTCGGGATTCTAGACGCTGAGTCCCTGATTCGGAGGAGGAAATTGACTCTCGGCCGGGCTACCTCATAGATAATATGACGTTGATTCTACCAGGGGGTCCTCAAAGGGTACTATCCTGTAGTACCTTGCCCTATATCAGCGATTGATCATCATGCTCAATAGCGCAATCTATCTTAGTATCCATTCATTTCATTTCTTACCTCCTTTCATTTCCATTCCCCGTTGCCGGTATTTCCCAAATTGTAATGATGCCGTTCATTGTACAGAGTCATCGTTGTGTTTGATATTATAACATGAGACCCTCTACTGCTGGTGTTGTTGGCTTCATCTTGTGGTGGTTGCTAAGTCTCACAAGTATCGTGGCTGAGCGTACAAATGGGAGTTACCGACCAGAACAATTATCATCCTGTGCAGTATGTGCCTCTCACAATCTTTTCCGTCTTTCCTCCATAATTGACCCAACTTGTATAGCTGGAATGTCTACAACGCGCCGTCCGTGCTTCCCACTGCGAGCTCTCTGACATCGAATGTCAATGTGAAGATAAAGAATTCATCAAACACGCCTCATCATGTGCAGTGAAAACCTGTAAATTAGAAGACCTGATGCGTAGGTATACCAATCTATTTACAGTTGTTCGAAAGCGTCCGAGCATACCATAACTAACCTGACCTTCATAGAACTGGTGCGAGGGGATGCTGCGCAATGCAGCCGGTCCACTAAAAACTATCATAAACTAATCATCGCGCTAGCTATTACTACACCGACAATCACATTTACAGTCATAATCCTACGCGTTTTGTCCAGACTGTGGACAGTCCATCAGCTATGGTGGGATGACTTCATGCATATACTCGCCGGGGTACGTTCAATATCTGTGGCCCTACTCCAAAATGCCTCCAGGATTGGCATCATCTAATAACTCTCAAGGTCTTCGCGATACCTCTGAGCATTTTCGGAAATATCTGTAAGTCCGATCTCTTCCACCATGTCGTCCATTCGTGTCAACAAGGCTGATAAGCTATCGTAAGGTGTCAGTAAAGGGTTCGGACTCCACCTCTATGATATCAAAGTCGAATCCGTCACCCAGATAACCAACCTCTTCTTCTGGTGTAAGTGCCACAGCTTCCTAATCACACTACACACTAACCAAGGGGGTTTCCTCAGGGTACATGTGCCAGATCTTCTGGCCCTTCACCATCTTCTTCGTCAAAATGTCCATCCTACTCCTCTACCTCCGCATATTCCCAATCGTCCTATTCAGGAGAGTCGACTTCCTCTGCATCGCTTTCCTAGTCATCTCCTTCTTAGTCACCACGCCCATGGCAATCTGGCAATGCAAGCCCTTCCAAGCCGCATGGGACTACGATATTGACAACGCCCGCTGTCTAAAGATAGCAGCCGTAGCCTACGCCAACGCCACCCTGAACATCATCACCGAAGTCCTAATCCTCATCCTCCCCCTCCCAGTCCTGCGGACCCTCCACGTCTCCCGGAGAAAAAAGATCGCGCTTATTTCCGTCTTCAGCGTCGGTGTGATGTACAACACTCCCCCTTCCCCCGCCCAATAAAGCATACACAAGATATTAACCACGAGCAGAGTAATCGCAATAGCATCCGCGCGCATGCCCGCGCTCGGCGAAATGGGGACATACTACGACCCGCCATACTCCCAAGCTCCAGCGTTTCTGCTTAGCTGCGTCGAGGCAGCCATGGCGCATGTCTGCGCCGCTGCGCCGGTGATCTACACGGCCATTGTGCAGCTGAAACAGGCGCGTGGGAAGGGCTCGCAGACGTCGCCTTCGACCTCGCGCGAGGGACAGGCGGGGTCGGATCAGGGTGGTGGGTCGGGGAACGAGAATAAGAAGTACCGGGCGGCGCTTTACTCTTCGTTGCATATGTCGGATGTGGCTATCATGGGCCGAGGCTGGATGCAAAGTCAGCGTCGGGCTCACGGTTCGGCGCCTTCGGCTCATCATCTGGAGCGTGCTCACAGCGCTTATTACTCGGATCCTGAGTTGGCGGCGAGCCCGCGTTCTGTCCCGCGTCCTGGTTTGATACGTATGGGTACTACTCGTGGAAGTTGTGGCTCGTCTGGGGGATTGACTTTGCTTCCATCGCCTGAAATCAGTGATCGATTTGGGGAAGTATGACGGGGTATACCTGTCACCTGTATCGTTTGGGCGGGTGCTGGCTTCTTTGTGGCATCTTTATATAAAGTTCCTGCCGGTACTCTCTCACCGGTGAAGTGAATAACTAATACTAATATATTGTTGTTATTGTTGCTTATGCTATGCTAAAAAATGGATCCGCTCAAGTAGCTCCGATTAGAATTGCAAACGATAGCTCACGGCCGATGGATGTTGAGCATTTTTACTCTCATTTCAGCTCCTTGAGCGCAGCCTGGGCTCTTCTTTGGATTAATACACCCAGAGGGAGGTCTTCTTCGTCATAGAATTCAATATCTTCGTCGACGCCGAAATCACGTAGCCGTTCACCTTCTGAGTTTCTCCAACCTTCTTCCCCATAGTCGGACCCTTTTTCATCGGGACCATCGGATTGTTCTGATTCATCCTCTGACTCTTCCGCCAGCCGTTTATGAAAGCGTTTACGGCGCTCGACTTCTAGGCCGGCTCGTTGACGTCTAAGGTCCTCTGCCTTTCTTTGATTAAAAGCCTGAACATCGAAGCTGGAGGTTTCAGCGCCAGTGAAGGCAATACTATCACTGACGTCTTTGGGTGGCAGAGGAATTCGATCTGGATCCGGTGGCGGCCAGGAGACATGGGGATCTAGCACCGTTTAGCCCTCACTTATCGGCCAATTTGAGTCAAGGGTGACCCGGCTTTCGTGATTACTTACCTTCAAACCCATTGACCTCATACTCTAGCCCTGTGCTACGGTCTGGCGTTCTCGCAAGTGGCCAGAACCAGCTCAAGACCTAACATCAACCAGTCAGCGACGACGGAAAGCTCAGGCCAAGGTGACTAACATTTGAACTCCCGCCCATTCCTTCTCGAATATTCGACCATATTCCAATGTCGTAAGGAAATTCTTGCTTCTTGATGCGCACACGAACCCCACCAGGGCCGTCTAAATACCCACCATAATGGCGGGCACGTCGCAACAGTGTTTCGTGTCTCTCAATCTCCCATGTCTCGATCGTGGTGGTATTCGCACCAAGCGACCAGAGGGTCCGCACAAGAAGTATAAATAGCATAAAAACAGTCAGGCTGTTTACGACAAAGAGAATAAACAAATGGCCTAGCTGCACTACGCTTGGACCCAGGTACTAAGAGAGACGAATGTCAGCGCAAGGCGGATAATCTGAGTGATCCTCTTACGCTGGGAAGGTTCCGAGACGCCCACACAATCGAGGCTCTCTCAAATAAGAGGGTTTCGAGATAACTCATACCCACGACTGCGTAGAATAGGAAGCGAACGAAGTGAGGAAATGTGAAATGCGAAACACAGTTTGCCGTCCACGGGCAGTGGTGGTCCATTTTGGGGATACATCTATGGCACGAGATCAGTTCGCTACAATATCCCAGAATATATTCAGAGCGTCGCCCACCTCTGGCATGTCTTGCAATGGTGTGCTCGTGGAGGTTTGAAGGCTTCACATCTACGGCACCATCGTTGTCGGCCATTAGCACGGTCGACCTCCAGTTGCTTGCCGTCTAGAGGCCTCCAGTGTCTAGGAACACGTCCCGGGTCTACAGTACAGGATCGATAGTAGCATATCCAGATACACAGGGCGAAGATATTAATGCGCCATACTTCATGCTCCCTGAGCGGTGCTGGCTCGAAATGCTTGAAGAAATACTGCGACGTATATGCGAGAAAGCTGATCAACACGCAGACCGTTGGAATCGCGAGTCGCGATATATGGAATGAGGAGCAAAGCATCCTGCTGTCAAGTCATTATCTGGCGTGAGATCCTGTGTATCATTGAAGTTGAAACATGGTTGATATGTTTCCACAATAATGTTCGGAAGGAATGGCCCAGAATTCGCTGACTAATATCTGCTCACGTGGCATGTGCCAATCATGTGCGTGGAAATACTCGGTTGTTAGTATCCTTCATTGGCTTCCCTTCCTGCCATGAGAATCAATCATCCTCACCAACATGCCAATCAATTATTCCATTTATATACTATAATTCCTGTCGTATATCTATTAAACATCTTCTCCTTTCAGATTTATAACAGCAATGGTCTCTCGTTTGCATGAATATAACCTCTAAAGATGCCGATCACGGCTCTTCCACCGACACTGTCCGGGCGATTGGCTCAACATCTGTAATATCGGACCCGTGCTCTGTTGTGAAAGAGCTGCTAGATAATGCATTAGATGCTTCTGCGACTTCTATAGGCATTGAGATATCTGCGAATGCAATTGATGTGATACAAGTAAAAGATAACGGACATGGAATCCCTTCGGATGACCATGCTTGCGTTTGCAGGCGCACGTTTACTAGCAAGATTCAGACCGTTGAAGATCTTCGAACCCTGGGAGGGAAGTCTTTAGGATTCAGAGGGGAAGCTCTTGCCAGCGCTGCTGAAGTGTCCGGTGGCGTGACTATCACCACTCGAGTTGAGGCAGAGATGGTCGGCACATCCATCAAATATGGAAGAAATGGAGAGCTTATCAGGTACCTATGCTCTTCGGACAATTATGTTCCTGAGGCTAATCTCTCATATATGAAGCTCTCAGCGCGCTTCGCACCCTGTGGGCACGACAGTCCGTATAATTGATCTTTTCAAGCACATACCTGTTCGGAGACAATCCACTTTGAAAAGCGCCATGAAAACTCTACCGCGAATCAAAAAGCTTATCCAGATATATGCTATGGCGCAACCCTCAAAGAGGCTTTCATTCAAGGTTCTCAAGGCTAAGAACGAAAGCAATAATTGGATCTACGCCCCTGGCCGCGATGCGACAATCACAGACGCAGCATTAAAAGTTGCCGGCACAGATGTCACTTCCAGTTGCGTCTTGAAGAAATGGCCTTCTGAAGAGAATGTAAACTCCGAGCCACACCAAGAGGAGCATATGTCCGAGTTTAGGCTTCTCGCCTTATTGCTGGATATAGAGACCGGTATCTTGTGTTGCCCTCCCTCTTATCTCTAGAGAGCATGGCTAACCATAGCAGATTACGCAAAATTGAGCAACGCTGGCCAGTACCTAGCCATCGATGGCAGGCCCATATCCAGCTCTCGAGGCATAGGGCAAGATATATCGAAATTATACAAGTCGTATCTTCGTTCGGCCCTTTCCCGCAGTGATGGCAGTCTGTCCATAACGGATCCGTTCCTCTGTTTGCATATCCAATGCCCTCAAGCAAGTTATGACGTCAATATAGAGCCAGCAAAAGATGATGTTCTGTTTGAAGATTCCGAAAGACTACTTTCGCTTGTGGGGGACCTCTTTCGGAGTATGTACGGCGAAAGGGAGCCTCATCACAAGAAGCGACCGAACTCTGCAAAAGGGAAGGTCGCTTTGTCAGATAAAGATACATTTGACCTCCTTTTAGCTCGAAGAAGCCCATCCGAAGCTCGCCATCTGTGGTTGCCAACTCGGGATTTTGTACGGCTCGCTCTCTTGCTCAATCAGTAGAACCTTCGCCTTCCTTGCACGTTACGAATGGGCAGTTCTCAGCCTCTTCTCAGAGAAGTAATGTATCAGTTGCTGAGAGCCGCGGAAAGTCTACGGATCGCGAGTTCTTGAACCCTTGGTCTATAACAAGGTGCAACACTCCGTTTCACAGATCCGGTGAAAGCCAGATCCGAAAGACAACAGCCCATCGGCCGCCCGTGAATGACAACATGCATACATCCGAAGAAAGACGGGACTCGGCAGGGTCCTTTCTACCCAGTCCAACCGCATCAACTGCGTCAGCGTCGAGCCCTCCGTCGGATTCACGATCCTTTCAGAATACCCAGGCATCACCCACAAGCCGTGGTTGCGATGAAGCCGCAAGGGCTTCAAGGCAACGGGCCAGGGAAATGTATGGTAACGGAGCTCTGGACACTTGGTTCGGGAAGACTACTCAAATGGCACTCGCCCGGATAGCGACGGAGGAGCCGTCGGGCGACGATCAGGAAGAACCCCCGCTGAGCCAACTAGCACATGAACGCTTTCGCTCGCAAGAGCAGTCTTCGCCCGAGTTGTGCGAAATTGCAAGCCGCACAATATCCATTCGGAGAGGCTCCGGGAACAGTACACCCGAGAGTCCTGCACTTTCAAGTATTCCGTCACAAAATCCTACTTCTAGAGTATCATCACAGGGCCCAGCTTCAGAAGTAAGAGAAAAGCATCAAGAGTTTCCGGTTCTTGAGCAGTGGTCTTCCAGGCTACATAGCCTGGCTAAGGACAGCCCAAAATCTGATTTGGAGACCGCTCTAGATTTCGAGCATCGAAAAAAAGAAGCTATCCAAAGACGACGAGAGATTAAAGGTCGTTCACAACTACCTGCTTCGACCAACTCGCCGCACTTGAGCAGGTACCTTGCTGCGCGTGCTGCTCTGCGTCCCGAATCCAACCAATCCGTTCATAAGTTGAGTTTATTCACTTCAGCAGAGGTTACGACAAAAGGTGGCTTAAACCCCCATGACCCAAGATCATACCTTATACGACACCAGCACACAAACCGACAGGATGAACTATCAAGAGATGGTAAGGTTCGGCGTATTAACACGAACAAATTACCATTCGAACGAATACCAGAAGGCCATGAATTGCACGATATAGGCATCAATCTATCTGCTACGCTTCCGGCCCTTTCAGCCTTATCAGAGGAAGTATGTAAGAGCGATTTATATACCCAATGTGGAGAGCAGTTTGAAGCATTTTCCGCTTGTGATCTACAGTCTGATCTTGTTACATTATGGACGTCTAGATTGTCCGCCCTGCTCAAAAGCAAGTACAAGGCAAAAGAGGGATCTGAAGAAATTACACCTCGGTTTGACTTTTCTGCCCTAACCGAGACGAACGATGGTCAGAAATAATACATCTTATATGTCTATGCATGCAAGTAGCACAACTTGACAACAGCCTAGCCCCTTGGCAAGGCAGTTCAAAGCGGGGCGACGATGCATACATACACAGGATTCTGTTTCCCGTTTACTTTATCATGAATTCTCGGATATTCCCAGAGAGTGGATCACATTAAAGCAAGAATACCATCTGGCCTCAATTCAAGACCATCGCGCGGGCAGGTTGCCATATTCGGGAATCCGAACGTCACTAAATAGTTACAAAATTATGACATCAACCCCTACACAGCAGCTATAAAACCAATCATGGACCATCCTCTTCCGGGGGCTCAATTGCGTCCAAATCGCAAACATGGATATTTATGGCTCCAAGAAGCCTCTGGTCGACATCGACCGAACAATTGACCAATTTGCCGGGCAAAAGCCCAAGCTGGGCTTAACCGCCGGCGATATCGGCATCTTCAAATCGACCATTCTCCCCTCATTCACCTTGCATACCGGACTCTCAGTTGCCTCTTTTATCGCAGCGAAAACTACCGACAAGGGCGAGATCAAGGATTGGTGCTGGCCATCAAGTCAAGTAATCAACGCCTGGTGGAGCGCCGTTGGCCGTCAGATTTTCTACGAGAATGTTTCCTTTTCAACCGCCTGGAAAGCTCTTCCCTGGACTGAGAAAGTGCTACTCAGCTGCGTGACGATCTGGGGTACCCGTCTGTTCTACCGCATCTCGAAGAGAACCATTACCCGTGGCAAAGACGATCCAAGATACGATGAGATGAAGTCGAAGGATCCTGAGTTCTGGAAATCCGCTTTCTTCAGACAGTTTCTTCCCGAGGCTGTCTTCTTAACCCTTATCACTCTTCCATTCACTCTACCTTTCCGGTTGACTGGGTCGTCTCTTAATTTAAGCACTGACACTGCCGCAACCATTCGCGGTCTTGGTGTGGCTCTCTTCAGCGCTGGTTTCGCTATGGAAGCCATGGCCGACTGCCAGCTAGAACTGCATCGCCAGGAACGGACTGATCTGTGCCGTCACGGTGTCTGGAGTATCGTCCGTCATCCGAAGTCAGTCACATCTACAAGCTCTATTCGTGCCGTAGCGTGAGAGATTAATGCTAATGGGACCATAGCTACTTGGGTGACGCATTGGTGCACATCTCCTTCGTCATCCTTAACGCCGCCAACACTTTCAACCCCCTTGTCCTCCTTGGTCCTGTCGCAAACTACGTCTACCTCCGCTTCGTGGGCGGTGACAAGCAAAACGAAGCTAGCCAGGAGGCCCGGTACAAGGAGCAAGACCCGCACAAATATCAGCAGCTGCAGACATGGCGTTACGAGAAGAACAGCTTCTGGCCTAGCCTCTCTGAATTGGCGAACCCGTGGGCATGGGCTGTTGTCGGCAGTGGGTTGGTTGGTGTTGTTTTAGAAGAGGCTATTCGGGGGTGGGCCTTGCAGTGATATCAGTGTAAAATCATCTGGTCCCGACGTACTATTGCAGAATATATTATAATATATACCGTTAAGAGTTCATTCCCTACATACAGTGTCGCATGCTTAACCCAAAGCGCTCATGACTTAAATGAGGGAGCAGCGTCACCAAAGTCGCACCATGGCCATACTACTAACTAACATACATGCAAAGAAGAAAAATCAATACCCCTTCCCCCTTTTATATGCATTCAGCAAATCCTCCCCCCTCTTTATCCTCCCCACATTCTCCTTCGCAATATCCAACGACCTAGAAAAGTATTCCACTCCCAGAGAGCTCACATGCGGACTAATCTGCACATTAGGAACATCCCACAATGGATGCTCCGCCGGCAGGGGTTCAGGATCCGTCACATCCAATGCGGCACCACTCAATTCGCCCGAATTCAACGCCGCAATCAGCGCATCCTGGTCGAGGACCTTTCCGCGGGAGATATTCGTCAAATACGGCTTCGGCCCCTTCGATCCCTGACTAGCAGCCAAGAGCGCAAATTCCTCCGCGCCGAGCAGATGCGTCGTCTGCGGCGTGAGCGGAAGCGAGATAACCAGATGATCGAGACCGAGAGCGAGGAATTCACGGACGGAAGCTTTGTCAGTCCCATGATGCCAGGAGACAGGCACCGTGCCTTCTTTGTCGCCCGTGCCGGGGACGATGAACCCGTTGTCATGGCGCGAGGATGGCGTAGGTCTTGGTGAGGCTGTGTATGCGTAAACGGTCATGCCTAGCGCTTTAGATACTCGGCCGACTAGGGTTTATCTCTTGTCAGCTGGGTCTTTGTTTACGTTTTGGTACGTATTTTTGAGGGTATTTATTGTGTGCATAGAATGAAAAGAGATTGGACTTACTCTGTCGTCCAATACTCCCGTACCCTAATATCCCGACCCGTTTCCCAACTTGATCATACACCCCCTGGAAGTACCCGCTGCTGCTATCGCGCCATTCGTGTTTCTTCTGTTTTTCATACATGGTTGCATACCGGCGTGAGTGCACAAGCCAGTTCATGACCGTCCACTCGGCGATCGGGGGCCCATGCACCCCGGAGCTGCTTGTCAAAGGGATGGCAGTTTCTCTGAAGATGGGGTGTTGGATAACATGGTTCAGGCCGGCGGAGAGGAAGTGGATGAATTGAACACTGTAGTGTGTTAGTATTCATCGCATCGACTCCCTTAACAGTTCTACTGTATGTACTTCTCAGCATCCTCGGGTTTCGGGAGATTAGCGAATGTAACAATGTAGGTAGCCTTTCTGGCTAGTTCTGCATGTTGCGATACAAGAATCAGCCCCTGGTATATTGAGATTTGAGGTTGAGATTTGTCTAAGATACAACTCACCACTGGGTATATCCTCCCCCCTCTTCAACGTCACACTCGAGACTTCCAGCTCGGGGAACTTGGCTCGGATCTCCTCCAGCTGCTCCGGCGTTAAGTCGTGCATGAAGGCTATCAGTAGATGTTCTTTGGGTAGTGCTGCGTCGCCCATTATGCTCTGTCGGTCTGTGGCCTTTTGCTAACTAGTCGACTGTATAGTATAACCTGCGCTGCTGAAAATAATGGGTGAATTGTGCGCTAGACATGGAACAGTGTAGTCTATGTCGCAATTGACAGGGAATCGCACGCGCCGCTTCGTGAAAAGTGGGGTTTGCAATAGATTAGATAAATTGGGTTCCTTGGGTTGATTTCTAATCGCGGTCTATTCGGCGCAACTGAACTGAACTTTCGGGACTTTGTTTCTGGGATTAATTAGGGTTGGGGCAGGTTATCTCCCTCTGTAGTTGCATTTGGTTTGTTGTTCATATCCGTAATAGTGTACTGCTTGCATGACATATACAAACAAAAAATATATAGTTAGCACAGCTAAATTAATCAACACATCTCCTGGCTCTCAGAACAAGTATACCCCTTCCCATATATCAAGGAAGCTTTTGTAAACAGAGGCAGGGGAGAAAAAAGAATCAAGGAACCCAAACCATCGAATCCTGTACATACCCATCCACCTCCACCGTCGACCGAGCCTCAAATCCCAACTTCTCATAAACAAATCTTCCGTCCTGCGTAGCAGACAAATACACCTCCAGACCTTCCTCCTTCGCTCTCTCCAATCCCCAGTTAATAAGCATCGTCGCGACACCCCTTCTTCTTGCCGCGGGGTGCGTCCCTAGAACATCCACATCTATCATGGCAACCAGATCAGCACGAATCCCAAAACACCCCCTTCCCACCACCAAAGAGACAGAAACAGAAGAAGAGAGGAAGAACATACAATAATACCTCTTATCCCCCATAACCTCCACCTGGCGCTCATGATTCCTCCCAAAGAACCTCTCACAAAACGCCCCATCACAGCTCTCCGGCCACGGCGGACTCAACCCATCCTCCAGTTCCTCTTCTATTTCCGCCCCAGTCGTGGTCTCCGGGGCAGGGAGCGACCAAAGCGCGAACCCCACAATCGAAGGCTCGTTCTTGGCCGCGTCGGCCTCCGTGTCGACTACTTTCAGGAGCTGTTTGCGCGGGTTCCGATGTCCTTGGCCAGGGCGCGTGTCCACCAGGCGTGCACGTCGGGTGTGCGCGGGAAGAGTTTCGTGTTGAAGGCGTCGGAGAAGGTTGTGAAAAAGAGGGTGGCCAGCGTTGGGGTGTCCGCGGCTGTGGCGGGGTGGATTTCTAGGGGCATTTCTTCTCTTTTCTTTTCTTTTCTTTTCTGGTCCTTGTTCGTCTTCTATTTGGGATTTTGGGTTTGTTCGGGTTGGGATGGGGAAGGTGGGTTTGGAGTGGTGGCGTGGTTTCTGGGAGGTGCCAAGATTGATTAATATCTCGTGTTAAGGGAGTGTGTTAATGCTGTTCCTGGTTTAGTTTGCGTCGGATTTCTGGACTATGGTGTTAGTGTGTTTGTATACATGCTTCTCAGGGTGGTATTCTGCTTGCTGTGCAGATGCATGTATAAATGTTGGCATATTCTCGCTTCTCGAAGATGAGGATTACGCCACGCCCACTTGACGGCCGACTAGAAGTATCTAAACGAGTTTATGGCATGAATAAAAACGGTGGTTGGTAAGGCGAGGTCATCTCTCATATATGAAAATACATCCAGAGCAGTGCGTGCCCGAGTTAATAAAGGCAGACTGCAGTTGTTCATTAGATTCCCGGCTATATAGAGACAGGCACGTAAGACACATAACCTTCGCTGAAGGACAGACAGTAGTAGTAATCAAAATAGGACATTACTATACATCACCGCGCACACACACCCAATACAGCGTAAAGCATATTAGTTTTTTTCATAAGACCGTTCCGGTATCGTCACAGGGCTTGGGCTCGAAATGTCCTGACTCCGCGATTGTGAAGGCAAGAAGGATCTTCGATTGTACTGTCCATGTTGCATCGATGCGCGGCTCTCGCCGCCGCCTTTCATTGCTTCGATCTCCCGCTTCACGCCTTCGTACAGATGCTCGATATACTGGATCTCCTCTTGGACGTCAAGCTCGCATCCGTCCAGACAGAATTCACGTTCTCGCTGCTCGATGTATTCCCGGATATTGCGCCATTCGTTCTGGTAGTGCTTCAGTCGATCTGGGAGACCGGATCCCTTCAGATAGGTTAGGATTCCGGCCATGATGGTGTTGATGGCGCCGAACGCGGTCACGGCGGAATGCGGGCCAGCAGCAGCGCCGAGGGCCGTCAGCGACGCAGCGACAACAATCTGAATCGCCAGGCACGTGTTGATGAGGATACTGTAGAAGCGGTATCGCTTGGCGGTGAATCGCTCTGCTTGGACCACTCGTGCGTAGATGCCGACGTTGGGAGCGGTACGGTCGTAGTGGTGGAGGGTGTTCAATGTCGGGACGCTGTCGATGCCTGTGAGGGCACGGAAGACGAGAAGCTTGTCGCTGGGTGGGATCAGCGCGTTTGCTTCCGTTCTCGCAATCGTGAGGCTCTTTGCGCGAACTTCTGGTGGCAAGTCCATTGTTTTGCTGTGGTTGTTCATTGGGGGTGCGCCATGAGATATAGTGGGCAGAACAGGGTCTGGATGGCCAATGAAGGCGACCAGCAGCCGTCTTGCGAGGCTATCGCGATGTGGATATTGTTCGTTCGACATGGTGATGCGAGGAGGTGTGTTGAGCCAGAGCGCCGCCGGTAGCGAAACTGGGGGGAAGACCCTATAAATGCAGGGACAGACGCTCCCACTTCCCGGTAGAATCCCGGGGTATGGGTCACAATAGCCATTGTTTTACCTCCCAATCGGTGAGACTCAGCTAGCCAATTTCTGCTTGAATGGGCCGCAGTTTTCTGCAAGTGGCACGGTCACCGCGAGTGACAGAGAGACAGGAACCTGACTTGAAACCAATCATTGGAGCAGAGAAGCTCGAACGTGCCAAACTTTGGAGGGATACCCACACGGCTGGACCCTAATCACTGCAGATCCAGAAGGTTTTAGGAAGCTATCCGACAGCTAAAGAGAGCAAGCGGGAAATTGAGCTAAGTCTTACATGGTACAGCCACTCATAGACCGCTGTCTGCGGTAGAATTTGTGACAGTTCCTGTGGATCCGCCATGGCAAATGCGAAATTGGGCCGTGATGGCGGAGCTCATATGTGTTTCGCTCGAGCTAATGCCGGAATGAACTGCCGTGAATAAGACCCTGTCTATCAGCAGCAACTAAGTGAGGCATGCATCTATCATATCACATTGAATGCATGGGCCAGCCAACTGAACCTCACGAGATACGTTGCTGGAGGAAAAGGGGACCAAAAAACAAGAACCAAAGCATAATCACACGGTCAAATTGCACTTTGAGAAGAACACGGCCGATCGGATCACAATGGGCATTGATCGGCAGCACTAAGATTTTGGTTCATGCCGAAGCGAAGCCATCGATCCAGCCGTCATATCGGTTGAAGTTGCTCATTGCTCAGGACGGTATATTGACTTTCTCTTGTGCACAAGTTGAACCCGCCCGTCAGGACATCGGATACTCGTCGACGAATGATATAAATCATATATCGGGGGTGGAGATGAGTTGCAGGATCAATTCTCCGGACCTGGACGGCCAATATCGTGCTTTTCATTCCGGGATGGTGATTAAAGTAATTATAAAAGTCAACAAGGCGAAAGCGTATCATACATCAGCGATATAATTATAACACCCCCCGGGTAGTCCATGCAAAATGGTTCACAGCAAATCAACTCTACAAAAATGTCATATGCAATGAGAACACAGAAAACCAGCCACGTAAAATTGCAAGCCATGTCGTGTCGTCATGAATGGAGCCCATCGCTACGATGGGACCCCCAACCTCCGCAACCGCTCTCTTAATGCATCTATCTCGCCGTCCGCTTCGTTCTCGCCCTTCTTCAGGGAAACGGATCGATATTCGGTGTCCCCTCCAGGTGCTCCTACAGTTACCCAGACAAACCTGCTGCCACTTCCGCCCGCTTGCGGCCTTTCCTGGGCACCCTCCCAGAACAAGCCATCGGATACAGGTTGCTGATCCGAGGGTCGTTCGCCGAGGCGGCCAAGCTTAATCCAACCTTTGAGGACGGTCTTCATAAATGTGATCTTCGGTAAAAACGCATTCGCTTCCAGGATGTCCCGAAGACGCTCATCCTTGGGGGTAGTGCCAGTGCCGTACGCAATACTAAGGAACGTACCCGCCTCGTCGGATGCCATCGATCGGCTATCGAAGCCAGATGGGTGCATTTTTCCTTTGGAACTCAAGTAACGAGCAGCAGACGGGGAGAGATGATAGAAGTCAATCCATGGTGACGAGCTTCTGGTACGGCCGGGCGAGATAACGACCTTGGTATGGTCCGGGAAATTAAACTACAGGTTTGGAACGTTAGCAGCAGGAAATGGTCGATGAAAAGGAAAGAAAGAAAAACAAAGGATAAACTAACCTGGAAGGCACCATCACCGAACCCCCAGACGCCTACATTGCCAAACCGTTGGTAGAACTTGACAAATTGGCCGTGATGGTCCGGTGGCAGTTGGTCCTCGAGATACGCTTCGTTTCTTCCCAGAGATCCGATCATGTATTCGCCAAATTGGTGTGCCAATTTCACACGTTTGATCTTTTCAGCGTCGGCCCGTGCGCATTCAACACTAGCATTCAACCGGGCTTTATAGACAAGACCGGACGAGGAACTGGATGAACTCTCCCGTTCAAACACAGAAGGGGAGACAAAGGCGCGGCGAATACTACCGCGATACTCAGGCAACTCATTGTCACAATTCTCGTAGAACTCGACCAGCCGTCCATTGCGAGGGACAAGTTGTCCCGCTTCCGAGTAGGCGTGTGTCCCGTTCTCCTTTTTCTCCTGGTGCCGGGCTTTGCGCCGAATGTGCTTCTCCCCGTCGCGCATCACGACGCCACTCGCTGGCTGGCCATTGCCAGATTTGAACACACACCCGACACTTCCATCGTCCAGAACATACCCAATTCCGTACCGGTTGGTATAGTCGACCCATTTAATGACATACGTATGGGGTGCACGCTTCGAGGCTGTCCGTCGCCGAGCAGATGAATAAGGGACCAGGTTGGCCAGCATGTGCCGCAGGTCGGCATTGACATCAATGACGGAGGACCGGGGCAGGAGTTCGCACGAGTCATCCTTATGGAAAAGAGGGTGCAGCCCTATCGAAGACCGTGGTTTACTTCCAGACGGTGGAGATGTCTTGATACCGGATCGACCCGCTTGTTGAGCCTGGGCTTCAGCCGCTAAGCGACGGCTTTGAGCATCCAATTCATCCTTTGCGGTCAGAGTGCCGGCGTCTTTGTGATTCAGGGCGTCTCTAGATCCGGTCTTGGGTAGGGTACGTAAAGAGCTCTGGCGTGAAAGGGTCGGCAACTTCTCGGGAGCTGTAGGCGGGAGTAGTTCTTTGGCAGTAGGCAGTCCAGCTGATTCCTGGTTCGCTGCTTCCAAACGCCGGGACTGCGAACGGGTCTTGCCGACAGTCAAAGCACCGGCTTCGTGGCCAGCTTTAGATTCCGTCGACGCGATATTCCGCTCCGAGTCACGCGTTGACCCCGAGCCTGATGCCGACACGCCACGTCGCGCGCGAATAGGCCTCTCGGCAAGTCCTCCACTAGGCACAGGAGGGACATCCAGGGCTAGCTCTCTCACCTCGGGAAGAGCTGGTGCTGGTAAAACCGGTGGGTCGCAGAGAGCAGGGATCTTTCGAAGTGAGCCCCGACCAATAGATGCCTGCTGCCGAAGGGTTGCAGCATGGCTCTGCGACGCTTGGCGCCGCTGTTGGGCTGCAACAAGTGCGGCTTGTGTCCGTGAGAGCGACACCGAACTGCTTCGCAAGGATAACGTGCTTCTAGACGAGAGCACAGTGGTGTCTTGTGAAGCACCATCCCTACGACTTACTAGAGTCGCTTCAGGGATGCTCCAGTCTCCTTCGGCTGTATGGGGATATCTGTAAACAATATCTTCGGGCAACGGAATCACTGGCTGGAGGCCTTTGTCCTCCTCCACTAGACATTCAGCAAATGCGGATTTGGAAGAGTTTTTCCCGGCAGCCTTGCGAGCAGAGCCATCTGGCTTTCGACCCACACCGCAGAGACTGTAGAAGGCTGCCTTGCATATGGGATACCGCTGGTTAGTATCATCGACATATTCTATGTAACTGGCAAGCTTCTCGTCGTAATCTAAACTATACCCAAACATCAT